ATATATATATATATATATATACATAGGTCAAACTTTAATTATTCTGTACACAGGAAATTTTTCTTTTCAATTTATATACATATATATATATATGTTTACAGATTTAAGCACTGTTTGTAGTTGGGTTTAAGAAGAATATGCAAAAAGAAACATTTAATATTATATATAGATTGGGTAAGCCACAGTAAACCAGCTGATAAAGTTATTATTCTGTTGCACTTCACACAACTCTTTCATGTGAGAGATATTAACATCATCAGTATATAAAACAAAGTCACAAACTATAGATATCCCTTGATATTGTAAACTTACTTTTTAGTAGTATATATAGTAATATAAATTTATGAGTGTGTTGGGTTAAAGATTCTTCTACAGTAGATGTCTGTGACTTGTTGATGATAAATTTGACAATGAATGAACAGCACACACTCCACTTGTTTTTAAAATAATATACAGTCCAGTCCTGTTTATCCAGTCAGTTGTGGGTCTAAGCAATTAATGGCCGTATTACAGGGTGTCACTGTATAGGGTCAACTCTGGGATCAAACTGAGGCCTCAAAGGCACAGTACATACCCATACAACTCACCCATAATATTCACCTTTCTATGTACCTGTTTGATAGAGAATGTTATAATAACATTTGGCTGAGAAAGCAGAGCTCTATTTATTGCAAAATAGAGGGAAAGGTGACAAAACTTGAAATGAATGTGTGAATTTTCCCCTTTGAACAAATCTTTTGTTCACAAGAAGATCAAAGAGACACAGAACTACAAGTGTTATAAATGGCAAAGTTTAAAGGAGCGTGAAAATATACTGTTTGTTTGGTTGTGTATGAAGGATTGTGTGATCATCAGTGCAGCATGAGGTGTGAAGCATCAGGTAGGATTAGCATGCCATTAACAGGGAACATCAATGGTCACCTGATTTGTAACACCTACAAGATGTGGCTACTATCAGTCGATGTACCGTAGTGTGCTCACTTTGATTGACAGGTCTCAATTGGGTAGTGGCAGGTGAGAGCTGTCCTGGGTGTCTGAAATACTGAGTTCAAAGAGACTGCTTGGAAGTTGGAAACAGGTAATTGCAAGCCAAGTTGAATGTATGCAAGTGGTTGATGGTCTGTCTGGATGACAAACTACTTCCTGTATAGATAGTTCTGAAACTTCTAAATGGGAAAATATGATGGCCAGATCGTTCAATCATAAAGTAGTTCTTCTCACTATTTAACATTTTTTTACTTTTATATATGACCAGAAACAGTCCATCTTCATGATCTTGTAAGAGTAATGCTCCAATTCCAAGAATTGCATCAGCCAAAACAATGAATTGGTTGTTGAAGTCTGGCATTCTAAGAATTGGTGAACTTCCCAACATGTTCTTTAATTTCTAGAATGCCACCTGGTGTGGTTGTTCCCACTTCACCTTGTTGGGCAAGCTTTTCTTGGTCGGGTCAGTCAATAGTGCAGTAACTTCAGCATAGTTTGGGATGAATTTTCTGTAGTATCCCGCTAAACACAGGAAGGATCTGACTTACTGCTGGTCCCACCTTTTGTCTAACAAACTCTAGCACAGAATATTTGATGTAGCACTTAGATGGTCTAATGGTGAAACCTGCTACCCTCACTCACCAGAACAGCTAAGTTTCTTCAGGTGGTCTTCCCATTTCACAGTGTGTGCCAGAATGTCATCCGCATAGTGCTCAATGTTGGTGGTGTTGCACAACATCTTCCTCATCATGTAGTTGAGTGTTGCTGCTGAGCTGACTAACCCAAATAGCACCCGCTTAAATTGGTAACATCCATCTGGTGTCACAAATGTGGACTTCTCTTTAGATCCTGCCTATAACCTTTACTGAGGTCGATATTTGAAAAGAACCTGGTCCCATCTAGTTTTGCCATGATAGCCTCTGGGTTGCCTGTATGTTCGGAGTCAAACTTTGTCAGCTTCAAGAAGTCTATGCAGAAATGGTTTGATTCACCCCTCTTGTTCATGATTAAATCTGGTGAACAGTAGGCTGAATTTGAATGCTTAATGATTCCAGCTTCCAACATTGCCTCAACTTCCTGTTTTATCAGGTCTCTCATTGCATAAAGCATCTGATAGGACTTCACTTTAACTGGATCCCTGGTTGTGGTCTCCATCTTGTGTTGCACAAGGTCTGTCTTTCCTGGTCTATCCGTGAAGATATCTGTGTACTAGCACAGTAGGTTTTGTAGCTCTTTTTTCTGCTTGTCAGTCAGTTCTTCACTGATGTTGACATCTTTGTATGTCTCATCTCCACCCAGTGATCATAGGTCTAGTAGGTCCTCATCTAAGACAAAGTCACTGTCTTCTGGTTTTGCATCTATGATGGCCACATCTGCAACATCCATCTTTTTTTTCAATAGCTGTACCTGTTACATCTCCTTCTCTACCAAAATACTGCTTCAAGAGATTGGCATGGTAGATCTTGGTCTTCCCATTCACCTTGTAGTCCATTCTGTTGTATATTTACTGTAATTCAAAAGGTCCTTTCCACTGCAGGATGAGTTTGTTGTGGTCTGTGGGCAGCAGAACTAAGACCTTCTGTCCGACCCTGAAACGTTGATCCTTGGCCTTCTTGTCACATAAATGCTTCTGACTGCTTTGAGCTGCATACAAGCTCTGTTGAGCGAGTTGACAGGTCTTCTCCAGTCAGTTTCTGAGGTCTAACACATACTGGCATGTGTTCCATACTTCTGACTCTTCTTCTCTCTCATCCACAGCTCTTTCAGTATTTGCATCGGATCTCGTACTGTTTTTCCATACAGTAACTTGAAGGGTGAAAATCCTGTACTTGCTTGTGGGACTTCTTGGTAAGCAAATAATACTGCTTGCAAGACCCTGTCCCAGTTATGCAGTGTCTCTTGGCACATCTTATTTAGCATGTTCTTTAAAACTCCATTGACTCTCTCACAAAGTCCATTACATCTGGGATTGTATGGGGTGGTAAAGAGCTGCCAAGTGCTGATGAGTCTGCACACTTCCTGCATCAGTTCTGAAGTAAACTGGTTCCTTCTGTCACTCAGGATTTCTCTCAGAAAGCCTACTCTGCAAACTAACTCCAGGAGAGCTTCTGCTACTCTATTCCTATCTTTGCTAATGCTATGGTTTCTGGATAATGTGTTGCATAGTTGACTAGTGTTAGCACATACCAACTGCCCTTGTTAGAAATAGGCACTAGTGGTCCAATCAAGTCCACAGCTACTCTGCTGAACAGCTCTTCTTTGAGAGGCATCTCCTCCAATGTCATCTAGGCTACCTTCCCTCTAGATATTGTCCTTTGGCAGATGTCACATGACTTTCAGTATCTACATCTCCAATGACTCCCGGCCAATGTAAGTTACTGGTGATTTTGTCTGCCATTTTTTTTATCCTACGTGTCCTCCCAAAATTGATTCATGAGCCAATTTCATCACTTGAGTCTGGTATGTTGTTGATACTATGAGCTGTTTAACTTCCCCAGTATAACTGCCTTGATAGATCCAATATAGCACATCCTATTGGTCCTCTATTCCTTAAGTATCTTTTCCCTGTGTCTTGTGCTCAACATTCTCCCAGGCATTGTCCCAAACTTTCTGCAGTGAAGGGTCTTTCTTCTGTGCTTCCTTCAGTTCCTGCAAACCTTTTGACACTTGCAGGGGCTCGATGTCTTGTTTGCTCTTCTTTTCTTGAGCTTTGGTGGTGACCTGTAGATGCTTCATCAATATTCTTTCTGTCTAGTTCCTCCAAATATCTGCTACTTGAAATGTTTCCAGTCACCAGGTCATATACTGGTGTTTTCATACACATGGCTTTAAGGTCTCCTACATAATATGAGGTATCCATCGTTATTTTTGCAATGAGAAACTTCCTCACTGTAACATCAATTAGCACACAAAGATGTACTTTACCTGTCCTCTGATCATCAGATACTAGACTGCTTCTCACTGCTGCACCCAGTGTCTAGGAGAACCTTCACTTTCTTATCCCTAACATATTCTTCACTTACTGGCATGTTGTGATTTGATATCACCTCTCAATGTTTGTTACAAGCTGCAATCACTACTGGTACTGTTGATCCATTTGCTAACTTAAGCCAACCATTAGTTATGCACTTATCAATTATGGAATTGCCACTTCCTTCTTGTGGTGAATCTGACATGTTTTATTGATTCTGTTTCTTCTGGCAGTACCATCCATGGTGCCAGTCACTCTTTTCTTGTTTCTCACTAGCATTATCTTTGTAAATAACTTCAGCTGCTTTATGTTGAGATTTCTGCTGTTGCTTGCTGGTAATGGACTTACACTCCTTTGCAATATGTCCCATTTCCTAACAAACATGACATATCTTCTTCCTTCTGTCTATTAACCTCTTGTCACCTCTGGTAGACTCTTACTTCTGGTCAGCCATCACTGGTTTTGAATTTAACTGGATATATTTGGACTTGCCAGTTATACTTCCTCCATGGACTTCCATATATTGCTCTTCCAGCTTCATCATCTCATCCACATCTTTTGGTGCTCTCTCCTTAAGGAACAGTGACATGTCAGTCAAACAACTGATCATGAACTGTTCTCGTATTAGTAGATCTGCTAGTCCCTCAAAACTATTTTCACACTTGGCCATGTCAGTCCATCTGGTGAAGTATCACTGCACAAGTGCCACAAATTGAAATAGTTTCTCCAGTGTCAGGTTTGACTTCTCTGAATTTCCAGCAGAAACCTTCTTTAGTAAGTTCATATTGTTTCAGTAAAGCCATTATTAATTTGTCATAGTCCATGGCATCTTCTGACATCATGCCTGCATATACTTGTAGGCCTCTTCCTGTGAGAAGTGGGCTGAGACAGATGGCCCAGTCACCTTTGTCCTAGTTTTGACTTTGGGCAAATCTTTAATATCTCTCCAGGAAAGCATTCATGTCATCTTTCTATTAATCAAATTTTGGCAGTTGGGGTTGGCTGGCCATGACTCCGTTGTCATTCTTGGGTCCTTCGGTTGGGTGAGCTTTTGCAATCTCAATTTGTGCTCTTATTTTCTCTCTCTATTTCCAGTCTTTCTTTTTTCAATATTTCTTCCTCTCTAGTTTTTGTTATTGTTTAACAAACTCTCATAGTTCACTGTCTTTTAACCCAAGACAATCTTTTCTTTCTACCCATTTATCAAAATTTGACATGGTTATATAGCATGATTGTATATTTTTATTCCACACTATTTGTGCTACTACTACAGTAGTGCATATATGGGCCTACTTATTCATGTTTTCTTCTAACATTGTTTACCACTGTATAATCCTGGCTGTGGCTCACCAAATGTCATAAAATTACTTTTTAGTAGTATATATAGTAATGTGTATTTATGGGTGTGTTGGGCGAAGGATTCTTCTAGAGTAGGTGTCTGTGACTTGTTGGCAATAAACAGCACACTCCACTCGTTTTTAAAATATTATACATATGTTTGAAACAAGTTAAACTTATGTATAAAATTCTTTACACTATGGAGATTATAGTTGTATCTTAAACACTATACAGTTCTCTTCTCCTTGTCAAAAGTCCACTTAGGCCAATTCAATTGCTTTAGAATTCAGTGGACAAGCCAAACTATTTTTCTCTATTTTTATCCCAATAGTATCCAAGTATAATTCACTTACACTGTCACATGAGTTACTGCAGTTGTATCCTGAACTTCCAATAATCGTCTGCCTTTTGTCAAGGTCCACACAGGCAGGTTCAGTTAGTTTAGAACCCTCTTTGATGAGACAAATTATTCTCCTCTCTTTCAAACTGTTAATGTCACTCTAACATATCAACTGTTAGGCCATTCACTCCCACAATGGTTAACTTTACATTTTCTAACTTTTCTCTGACCGAATTTCTCTTTGACGTGACTTTACTTTTATCCTTCTTCTGCTCGTCTGAGCACAGCTACTTATATGTCTATCACTTAGGCCTCCTAGAAATCTCCATAGCCTCGACATCAGTGGATTGCAAACACAACGTTTGATAGCCTCAATATCAATTAATTATAAACACAAAATAAATTAATTAATAACATTACCTACACCAAACAGTCTTTTATATCTGACACTTTCCAACAGATCAGCTTAGCATTTCAGACTCTAGATCCAGACTTGTGCAGAAAAGGATGCACATCACACATGCATTGATGACAGTGGTGAACTGAAATGCATCTTTATCATGAAGAAAGGCTGTAGATGCTTTATGGCTGTTTACTCTGGCTCACCTTTATGTATGTGTGTATGTGTGTGTGCGCACTTATGTGCGCACGTGTATATATATATATATATATATATATAT